TTTTTTCATGTGCCCGTTGGCCATTCGTATGTCTTCTTTGGAGGATTTCTTGTTTAGATCTTATGCCATTTTGGATTGGGTTGTTTGGGGGTTTTTTTGTTACTAAATTCTATGAGCTGTTTATATATTCTAGAAATTAAGCCCTTGTCAGTCACATCATTTGCAAAAATTTTCTCCCATGCATAGGTTGTCTGTTTTGTTTATTATTTCCTTTGCTGTGCAAAAGCTTAGAGTTTGATTAGGTCCTATTTGTTTAGTTTTGCTTTGATTTCTGTTGCCTGGGTAGACTGCCCTAGGAGAACACTGCTAAGATTTATGTCAGAAAATGTTTTGCCTGTGTTTTATTCTAGGAGGTTTATGTTTTAAGTCTTTAAACCATTTTAAGTTTATTTTTGTGTATGGTGTGAGGGAGAATTCTAACTTCATTGACTTATATAGAACTTTTTAATAATTAGTTTTAGTACAGCTGGATAAAATTTAGGGGAAAAACTTAAGATTCATTCCTGGCAGTATAAAGCAGGGTAAATTCCCAATAAGTCAAGAGATATAAACATTTTTTTTAAAGGGTTGTGGGGTGGGGGAGAAACTGTACAAGTACTGCAAGAAGACATAGGTGAATTTATTTATAGCCTTGGAATTGAGACATAAATAACTCAGAAATCCAGAAATAAGGAGAAAGCAACTAGAGGTCTGAGATCAGAATTACAAGTTACACTACACTGAGATACCACTTCATACCAATCAGATGGGCAAAAATCCAACAAGGTATTAAAATACTCTGTTGACAAGACTGGAAAAACAAGGACTCTCACACTGCTAATGAAAATGCAAAATAGTACAACTCAATAGGAGAGAATTGAGCAGTGTCTGTGTGTAATCTTATATGAATATGCCATAAGACCCAGCACTCTTGCTTCTGTCCTAAAGATATACTGGTAAAATTACAAAATGTGGTATGAACAGAAGAATTTTAAAAATGCTGTATGGAGCATTTTACAGCAGACTGGAGACAATTCAAATGTGCAGCATAAATTGACTTGATTAACCATCATGTATATGTACATTGGAGTATTTTACAGCTGTATACATCTATGGAGTGGTCTTCAGCATACGTTAAATGAAAAAATAGGTAAGTGCAATAATATGTGTACTATGCTAATATTTGTGAAAAGAAGGGAGGAATACTATATATATGCCTGTACTTTCAGAAAGAAAGTGAAGAAACAACATTTGGGAGAGGGCAAGGATGGAAGGTAGTTATCTTTTGTTGTACCTTGTTTTGTATTTTGACTTTGTATCCATGCAGATACTTTACATATTGGCTTTTATTTAAAAAAAATAAAGAAGTCAAAGGGAAAAATAGCCATCCTAAATATCAAAACCAGTGAATTTGATTCAGCATCAGCGTATTACACAACAAACATAATTATAATTTCAAGTGCTGTTAAAATATTTTGACTTAGAGGAAAGCTGTATCTCAAGGACAAAGGAGAAATACAAAGAAATCTATACTGGCTTTACTCGTCTTTTGTTAATGGTAATATCGGTATTATTGTTGGTGAGTCCAAAATTAAGTATGTAACTTAATTTAACAAGGAGTTCAATTTTTGCAAAAGAAAAAATAAGGTGCCCTGTAGTCTTTTCATTTCCTGTGCCAGGAACCTGGACAAGGACCAAATATATTTCTTATTATACCATAGAGAGGTATCCCACTACCCCTCCTCAGATCTGAAGTGTGATTAAAGAAAAGGTGTGGACTTTGCACACAGGAAAGCTCTGAGGTTTTCCATAGACCTATGTCTGTAGATGAATTTTGTTTAACGTTGATTGGCCTCAGTCTCATTAAGTGGTTGGGGCCTGCTTACAGAGAGATCAGGGAATCTTCCATGGGAATCTCTGAAAGGTAAAACCTTGAAACAGGGTCCACTTTGTGGTTGAATGGAATGTGCTAGTTTTGACATCTTTGTGATTCTGATACATGCTACATCAATGTTCTTTATCTCAGGAACAAGGAAAATGTATAAGGAAGGATGGTGGATTTATAAGAAAATTATCCAATGCATAAATATTAGATTATTCTCTCAGAGTTGAAGAAGTCTTAAGGTTATTGTCCAACATAAATTATTTTCTACATTCTGTGATTCAGATTGACTGTTATATAGCTAATAGAAATCACTTAGAATTTATCAAAACAAAGAAAAATTAGGATATAATATGACATAATGAACTTGAGAATTAAAGAATAAAGTTCTTTAATTTTATGTAAACTTATTATTCTAAAAATTTTTATACAGCATTTAAGAAAAAATCTAAGTTTTCCTTCATTTTTTCTTCTATTCATTATAAATAATTATATTCATTCAGCACATATATACATCTTCTTTATTCATTTGTTTGTTGATGGACATTTAGGTTGCTTCTCTGTCTTGGCTATTGTAAATAGTGCTGCTATGAACACTGGGGTGCATGTATCTTTTCAAATTAGGGTTTTCTGAAGATATATACCCAGGAGTGGAATTGCTGGATCATATGGCAAATCTATTTTTA